CGGCCGGGGAACGTCCCCGGCGGGACGCTGGGCAGCAATACCGCGGCCGCCGGCGCTGCCAGACTGTGTCCTGCGCTTGTCTCGGGGTAGTCGAACCAAAAAGGTGTTGCTGGCATGCAGGTCTGTTCTTGCACTGATCCGCGGGTTGGTCACTTTGCCCTGACAGCGAGCTAAGACGTGTGAAGTGGTTGTGTACCTTTTGGTGTTTCTTCTGGGAAAAGATAGCACTTAGATAAACAGACTTTTTTTTTTTTTTGGTAGTACGATTGTTCTTTATTTGAAAGCCACTGGCTCTGAGGAAACCTCCAGTGTGGCTCATGTAGCTGTCCCTGGGCCTAAGAAAAAGTGTTCAGCTCTGCCTTGTTCTTGCCTGAACACACAGTCTAAACTTCCTGCAAAATAAACCTTCTCTGTACATGTATGTTTGGTGCAGCCTCCACTATTAATTTGAGGTGCAAACCTTCCCACGTGCGACCCATATCAGCCTCAAGCTAATAGAAACCTGCTTTCTGCTGCACTTCTGTCACATACCCCTGACCTCCCCCCATCTTGTTTGCCTGTTTCCAGGGCTCTTACCACTTGTGCTTCTGCTGCTGCAAGACAGAGCTGGACTCTCTGCTCCAAAATTCTCCCCCTACATCCCTAGGCAGCCCCCCCTGCAGTCCCGCTCATGGCTGTGGCAAAGCTCTCTTGCTTTTTCTCACTCTGCCTTTATTCAAAAGGGAGAATTAGAGAAGCGTGGTAGCCTACATATGTGCAAAGAGAGGTACAGGCTGACCTGATCCCACCAACATGTTGCAGAGTTTGCTGATCAGTTTTAAGGATTTTTCCCTGAGCGTCTGGCTCGCACGCTGCCTCTGGCATTTGTACAGTTTATTCTGTGCCCTCCTTGCAGTTCAGCATGCCGCTCCTGCTGTTTTGGGCTTGGCTGCTTTCCTGTCAGAGTGCCAGAGCTCTGGGAAAGGACCCAGCTAAGGAGAAGGCTGGTACAGAACTTGTTGCCTGTCAGCTTTACTGAAGCATTTGTCCCAGCATATGCCCATTTGCCTATTATAGCAGCAACCGGAAACTTTCCAGCTGGGGAGACATGGAAGAAAAGGTGCTTTTCACTGTTAATCCATTTGAGAGATGGGAGAGCTGGTATCCATGCTAAGGCCAGTTACCAGCCCAGGAAGGTAGGGTAGAAAGGTATACATGGGGAGCCATATGCCCACATTCACCCTGCAGAGATGTTCAGCTGACTGCCCCAGGGATAACTCTCAGATCTTGATAAGCACAGAACTGTATAGGTAACAGCAGCCTCTCTTTGTCTGGCTCCTACTGTTTCCCTCCTCTTCCCATGCACGTACCTGAGCCCAGGAGCAGCAGCTTGCCCTCCTGAAGTGGATAAGGCAATTCTTGCTCCTGCAACTTCTGTTGTGCATATTTACAATTTCTGTGAATAGGAGCTGCCAGGAGGTTTTCAGAGGCCTCATGGTGTTGCAGTGGGGACAGTCCTGCCTTCTTGGTCTCCTGGTTCCCATTTTCTGGGTACTTTCTCTTGATTTGGTGTAATGATGTTAGTGTGATTAGCTTGCTATTATGCTCTCAGCATGCAGAGCAGAGACTTTTTCCAGACTGCCAGCCAAACAAATATGTGGACTCGATGTGCACATTCCCTTTCTTTAAAGGTTAAACTTAACCTAAGAAGAGCACATACCAATTGCTGCAGGAGATTAAACCTTAGCTCAAGACTGCAGACTTGCTTGTGGCCATGACTGGAAGAGACCAGACTTCCGTCAGGAGCTATTGCCAATTTTGTATTTGTAGCCTTTTGGTGTAATTGCTTGTTCCCTGTTTTGGGTAAGCCAGTAGGAATGTTTTCTTGGCTGGTTTTGTTATTTTTTTTTTTTAATATACTTTTCAGTAGTTTTTCCTGTCACTTGCTCTCCAGTTAGTGTGCGTTTAGGAGCATTGTGTCTGTTTAGTCTTTTTGTGCCTCTCATTCTAAAATGATGAAAGGAAAATTACTTTTTTTTTTCTTTTTTCTGAAAATGAGAGAAAACGGGAAGAATTCTGAGTCTGAATGTGATTCTAATGAAACATTTCACTAAGAAGTGGACAAGTTAGTAATAAAAATCAAACACATGCTTTAGGATCTGATGTCTCTCTTCTTAAAGTATGCACCCAAGGCCAAACCCTTTGGCTATCCCTGTTTATCTTTTATTTCTGCTTTAAACATTGGGGCAGGGAGAGTACCACAGGTTGGAATGGGTTTCCTATGGCCCTAATGGAGAGTCAGCATCATAAGGAAGTGACCTTGCCTGGCTACATCTCTTCTTTCTCCTTTCTTTCTTCTTCCTTCAATATTTTGTCTTGCCATGTTAGCAGGCATTCTTTCTCTCTGCTTATACAGAGAGTGCAGTGGTTTCAATAGGGGTCACTAGCCACCTCTACAACAGAAGTGAGAACAATGTTTGGAGCCTGTAGGCTTGTTGCTCTGTACTAAGCAATATATTCATGCTCTGTTCACTGTGCTCTTGCTGGAATCTGCGTTAGTACATACTGCTAATGGGCTTTCTGTTTTGTTTCTTAAACACTTGTTTTCTCTCCCTCAGAATTGAGTTTCTGCGACACTTGAGAAGCTTCTTCCAGACCATGTTTAAAATTGAAACAAAGACCCCTGAGGAGGAGCACATGGGTGGGGAGAAAGTCTTAATGACGTGTGTTGGCATTGGATTTTCCAACCTTAGCAAAACTATAAGATAAGAAACATCTGCAGACTTCGTGAAATGGGGTGACAGAAACCGCTGCAAAGATCTGATAAAACCTGCCTTTCCCCGTGCTTATTCTGGCACAGGGAAGCCAGTGATGATTCCAGTGCAGAGGAACCCAAGCTTGCTGCATGTAAACAATAAAGCTGACTTTAGACTGTTTAGACCTGTGCTGTTTATAAATGCAATGCCAGTATTCTGTGCTGCATGGAATGGCTGGCTGGAGTCTCAGCTGGCTTGGGACTCTTTGCACTGTATTCCACTGCATGGGACACAAGTGCGTCTTATGTCCCTGCGCTCTCAAGCTTTAATGCAGTGGATGCTCTAGTTTTGTGTATCTACAGACTTCACTCTTAGCTTTTTCTGAAAGGTTTAGATAGAGAGGGAAGACAAGATTGATCAAAACAAGCTTTGCAGTGCAAAACAAATGATCACAACAGAAATATTAGATTCTTGACGTAATTGCAGAGACAATATTGGCATGGAAATTAAAGGTGTGACGATAATTTTTTGTTCATACATTGCATGTGAATAGTATTTGTCAAATGCTTCACTCCTGCTTATGTTGACTAAATTACAGTTTCATAGGAGGAAAAAAAATACCCATCTTTTAATCTTCCTTAATGTTAGAATACTGCAGAAGAGATCACAACCTATACTGACTTGTTTTAGCCTCCTCTGCAAAGATGGGCATGGGAGGAGAAAACTCCTTGACAGTTTTTGACTTATCACATATATTCTTTTTAGGTTTGTTTGGCATGCCACACACTGCAGTTCACAATTAGTTGTGAAAGGTAGCAAAAAAAGCTGTAGGCTTTGAGGGAGAAAAATTTATTCAGTTATGCCATCGCATTTTGTGCAGCTGCTCCCTTTTGAAAGAAGGGATAATGGTGTATGGGCACTGCTTGGATTGACAGGTGCAAAAAGCTTCTACTAGGATATAAATATTTACCCAAGAAAGGCTTTTGGTAGATTCCAGGCAAACCTGCTGAAGTTAATGCTGAACTGCTGACACAAGGAAAGAACTTTATACTTGACTTCAGACTACACTCAGTGCATCTGGAGTAAAAAAAAAACATGTCAAAAGCTGGTATATATAGAGAGCAAATACTAGTGACTGTGTTATAATGGTCTTACAGACTTTATCTGATGCCACTGTAAAGTGGGCATTACCTCTGTAATATGAAAAATGTATTTTGTACCCAAAAGGACTTTGACAAAAAGTTAGGTATTTGATTAGTGTTTTATTAACTATTGCAGGCTGTGTGAGTCATTTTTGTACTGTACTTTGTTCTTGTTGCAATCTGTCTAAACATGTTTTGGAAAAATAAAGTATTTTTTCCTAAATAAGGTTTTATTTCCCTTTAAAACAAAACAAACAGCAACCAAAAAAAAAAACTCCAGAAACCTTTTCCCCAGCCCTATAAGTTGGCATTTCAAAAGATAAATGGCTATTTTGAACTGATACATCAAAACAACAGCTGTGGGCGTTTCCAGAACGAAAGGTGGGAGAAAGGGAGAGGGCAAGGAGGCTCTTACAATTTAATAGCTTTCCAAAATTTGATTTGCAGCTAAGGAAACCCTAAATAAAACAGTAGAATGTGAAATAAAATTATTTTACTATTTTTTTTTAATTTAAAGTTACATTAGGAATAAAGTATGTGGACAAGGAAGAATTTACCTTGCTCCCCGCTGTCATCTATGCAATGAAAAAGCTAGAAACTCTCCAAATGAAAATTGCCCTAAATACAGGGAGCCACTGATCCAAAAAGTGAAATGTACAAGCTGAGATTAATAGCCACTAGAATTAAAATATAAAGCTTACACTAATTAAAGATACAAGTTTGTAGTACAGCTCCGATTTCTAAAATTGGCCTAAGTAAAAATTTGGAAGTATTGTCACAGCTTCAAAAATCAAAAGCTTCATTTTTAAACTTTCAAAGGTCTTAACTTTGAAGCTATGACAGCTTTTCCAAGTGTTCCAGTTTCACCAAACATAGAAAGAGCAACGTGTTGCCCAGGTAGCAGATTCTTTAGCAATAGAGTAATTATGTCATAAAATTACCCATGCTTAAGTAAAGCTCAGTGTTAGTTAGACTGCTAACCCTTAGCCCTGCTGCAAATCGCATAGCTCTACAGCACAATGCTTGCTATGACTCAGAATTGCTTATCGCTTTACAGAGAAAAAGGTATGTGTATGAAAGGACTATGTTTTTCCAGAACAGCCAGTGTATGGAGAAACAGGAAGAATTCCAGAGGAGGTTTTAGGTGAGACCTTTCTTAAAATTCTTTGATCTTCACATTCCGTGAAAAGTAATTGCTGGGAGGAAATGCTGCAGATGGAAGCTGTTTGTGTATCGGCAGAACAGCTGTTAAAACCTGTTTTGGTGGACTGATCCCACAAGCAGGAAGATCAGTTTTTGAGCTGGACAGAGGAAATTAATTTTTGATGAAGACAATTCATACTCTTTGTAGCCACAGACTTTATGGTAAGGATGCTAGTTACTAGGAGATGCATCTTTCCTCTCAGTCCATCGTGGCAGATTTAATACTCAGATGACTTGAATGTGCACTGATTAGCTGTATGAGAATAATCCTGTACTCTTTGAGCTATCCATCAGCAATTTAGGTAATCCCTTTGGGTGAACAACTCTGATAATACCCTTCTGCTGTGATTGGAAACTTTTCTGCTTACAGAAATCTTTAAGGCTGGACCATAAAGAGGTACAGTTGTGGGAGGGGACTAATTAACAGAAGCATTTTGTAATGTGCCTTTTAATTGCAATAATTTTAACATATAGGGGGAGAGGGTGAAGAATGCACAGAAAAATAGTTTGGGGAAGAACTAATTAGAACACCTCATTAAACGGAGAATCTCTTCCTTTAAACTTGCCTAACAGGAAAGGCTGCTACAGTGGTGATGTGGAAAGTATTTGCAAAACGTGCCTTTACCTTGCACCCACTTTCACTTTTGTAGTATCTATTGTCAAACTCTCTTCCATTTCTAAGTTATGATGGTAACTTCACTGCACCTTCTGTGGTTACGGAAAATTCATGTTAACTTGCTGTAGGACAGGTTCTGGAGTAGTAGAGATTATGCTGAAGGTGAAATTGCTTCAGTCCAAGCCAATGCACTTTACTGAAAGTATATGACTAGAAGCCAGTGCAATAACTGCCTGGGCAAGCACACAGTAGGTAAGTTAGCTAGGCCAAAACAGTAAGTACATGGCTGTCTCGGGTAATGTTTTCAAAATGGTGATTATGTTAGTGCCAGAGTGTAGGTACTGTCTCTCTTCTCCTTCCCCACAGGCGACATTATGAGTCAAATGGATTTTGTTTCAAGCCGCTGAGGCATTACTCTGCTGCTTGCAAGCTCCAACATTCACTTCCCCGTTTTTCAGTCATGGTCTTGAGACACCAACAGGAGGAAAAAAAGACAAGAAAAGTACCAGCTTTCAGGGGGCATAATTTTGCCAATGAGTTTCTTTCTCATTTTCTGATATTGTATGGTCATTTCCACACTTCTATTGTGTATGTCTGATGAAAGTATTTTTATTTAGTCTAGATCCTAGGGGATACCAAGTGAGACATGCAACTGTGTCAGGGCAACTCTAAATAAAAAAAAAAAAAGTGGAAGGGGCATCTTCTACAGTTACTGCTTAGGTCTTGGTAAGCTCTGTCTTAAAAGATCATTCTTGGTGGGATATGTACAGTTTTCCTTGTGTCTGATACAGGAGCAGCACTGGCAAGCTCTGAAGAACACTTACTACCTGTTGTCAGTGGGAGGGGTAAAAGACAGAAAGTCCTGCAGGGAAGAGAGTGTGGGGGTTGAACTGTGGTGACAGCATTGTTTGTGTAATGACCGTAAGTCATGCACTGCCATCAGAGCATCACTGTGTCCAAATAGCACTTGTGCTAGATAAAGCTGTGGCATTGTTGTAAGACAGATTTGTTAGGATGATTTGTAGTATACCTGTAGCAATAGATGTTAGGGGTGAGTGCTAATCTCTCTCCTGGAACAGTAAGATTATTATATATACACACCAAGAAGAGTGCCCAGACTTACATTCCCTGTGTACTACAGGGTATAGAAACAACGGTGCTTGTGGAGGTAGCAATAAGGAGACCCACAGAGAAAATGGTTTATTATAGACTGGTATCAGTTAAGGATATAACCACAAGAAAACAGTGTCCAAAAGCAACTCTTTACATCAGGATGAACGGTGGCCAGGAGCCCACAGAAGTGAAGGGGCCAGGAGCCTGCCACTGCTGGCAACACCTCTGCACACCTGTGCAGATGTTGAGGGGGGGGCCCTTTGTGCACACCAGGGGTAGACTGGTGTCTTTGTACATTTGCCTTCATGCTGTATGTCTGCCAGATGGTCCATGCTCACCCCACTCTTCTCTGTATCGGTTTGGCCACACTTCCCTGGCAGCATCCCCTGTACTGTTCACACAACAAACATCAGTACTCCTTTAACAGTGAGCCCATGGTGAAAATCTGTCGGGTCCTTGTGGAGACTGATTCATGTGAGGTACCTGGTGCTTAATGATGGATGAGCTAGTAGGATTAAGGGTTTGATTCCAGTGATGATCACTACATGTCTGTGACACATCCCATTATACAAAATGTCACGGGCTCAGTAGGGCACCCTTGTTTGCAGGCTGCATCAAAAGTCACACTATTTGAGAATGAATGTCTTACTCCTTCTTACCTTGCTTCTAACCAGCAACCACTCTGCTCCCTGAAAGTTACTTACACCTTTTCCAATTCTCACCTGTCTCCACGGATAAGGAAAAAAGTTGCTTTAGCCAGTGATGAATGTAGATATAATCTGTAAGGTAGCACTGTGGTTCTGAATGGGCATTCCTCAGCACCATCAGGGAAGACAATTCTCTTCCATGTGTCTGGAAATGTAGTTTTGATGAGTTATAAACTACTACACATCTGCAGGCTGGATCTAGATCAAAATATGCATAAGTTTTGATTATTTATTCTCTTTTTTTTTAACATCACCAAAGTGGAAAAAAAAGGCGGGGGGGGGGGGGACCCTTACAGTTTGTGTGTCAGCATTCAGAAGGTGCCCAATTCAGTAAGGCTTCCTAAGAGATTTGTTTAAGTATGTGTATATAGAAACACATCTACAGATTCAGAATGTGTCTGCAAAAAAGGGTTTCTACCGCATAATGTTTCTGAGCACTGAATGTAAAAATCTACTTCATAGTTCACACCACAGGTGTATTAGCCACTATTTTCACCTTGTTCTTTGTGACTTAAATAACGTATGTAATGTGCTTTTGAAGAAAAGTTCCACAATAAATCAGGGCTAAATAAGACAGCCTAGAAAATGTTATACCCATTTCTTTTGGAAATGTGTTTGTCAGGTTGTTAATAAAAATACTGTTTCCTCATCCTTCACTATTAATGTCAGTAGCGAGTTTTCCCTCGAAACAGTGCCAAGATCTTGTTCTAGTCTTTTCTAAGTAATGACGTATGGATTCAAAGTGAAGAAGAGCTGGTTTGAAAAGATCTGGCTTTTTCCACGGTATGTAGAGCATCTTAGAAGAACAAGCTATTACACAATGCACAGGCTCCTTAACAGCTTCTTACTCTCAATAAGAGCATGATGGAGGGTTAGGGGGGCTAAACTAAAGCTACACCATCTGTGGCTAGCCTTGTAACAGGAAGAATGTGGCAGCTGCGTAAATAGTTTTTCTTCTTAAT